CACACGAGTAACAGTCCTCCTCAACACTAGCAGGAGCAGCATACATCGCATACATGCCAGCATGGATCACAGCCCAGTCACAAGCAAAAACATCTATGTCCTGCTTCAGCAAAGCGAGCCAGTCAGGAGTCTTCATGTGCTCACCATGCTACGCACGATACAGATCGTCGAGGCGAAAGAATCAACGAGACTCGGTGTGGTCGATGCGAGTGCAGGTCGCTCCAGGCTGACCTGTGCGACGGACGTACCCGCAGCGAGGTGGGCCACCTGAGCTGCCACGGGGGATCGCCCACTCACGAAGCTGCTGCGGCGAGAGCTGCGCCTGGAAGCTCGGCTGCTGCTGCTGGCCACCCCCAGCATCACCACCACCCCCCGCTGCACCACCAGACATAGCTGAACGAGTGGCCTGACCTCCAGCCCCTCCTCCTCCACCTCCACCCCTAGTGCCACCCCCACCCCCTCCACCACCCCCACTGCTCCCACCACCCCCTCCTCCCCCACCACCTCCACCGCCACCACCGCTCCCCCCGCCACCCCCACCACCCCCGCCACCCCCACCCTTGCCACCCTTGCCCCTACCGATGCGGCGCTTCCCACTAGGAGAAGACGCAGCACCGACCTCCTCTGCACCGAAGAGGTCAACAGCAGAGGCAACAGACGGCGCGAGTAGGGAGGGGGAGCACCCCTCAAAGACAGAGGGGAGGGGAGTGCCACGAGAGGCAGCGACAGCTAGGGCAGTAGACTCAACCTCTAAGAGGCGGGACTCAAACGGGTCGGGATGTCGCTTGCCCCTGCCGCTGCGGCGCTTCCCACTAGGAGCAGACGCAGCACCGACCTCCTCAGCACCAAAGAGGTCAACAGCAGCAGCAGAGGCAACAGACGGCGCGAGTAGGGAGGGGGAGCACCCCTCAAAGACAGAGGGGAGGGGAGTGCCACGAGAGGCAGCGACAACTAGGACAGCAGACTCAACCTCTAAGAGGCGGGAATCAAACGAGTCGAGGGTTATCTTTGTGGGGTCTAGAGCGAGGAAGTGGTCATGTACAGCACGAAGGGAGTCAGGGAGGCGGGTCGTGAGAAAGTAAAGGGTGAGATAAATGGGTGGCTTGTTCTTAGCCCTAAAGGTGGGCTCGAGGGCGGCAGCGTAGCAGGTCTCAAGGGAGCGCAGATGAATCAGGAGGTCGGCTACAGTGGTGAAGTCCGACAGCTCGGGAAAGAGGAACGGCAGTGCTAGACGGCCTACAGTGGGAGACGACGGGGACGAGTAGCACGTGACTACAGCGTCGTAAAGCGCCTTGGCCATCTTAAGCTGGCGAAAGTGGGTGCGCTGGTCTAGCAGAAGGTGGCTACGGACATCCAGAGCGGCAGTAGCGTCACGAGAAGTCCACCTGGACTGGTCTAGACGAGTAGCTGTGGCAGCAGGGGCATCTAGGGTCCCAGAGGTATGCTCAAAGAGCGAGACATCCTCCCTAGTCTGGCTCTGCAGGTACCAGTGGAGATCCTCTAACCAGGACTCGAAGTCTACCGGGTGGCACTCTCCGTCAAAGGTGAGAGAAAAGTAGGGGTCGCCATAGCAGTAGAACGGTAGTAGCAGCAGTAGCAGCAGCAGCAGCAGCAGCAGTAGCAGGAGCAACAGCAGCAGCAGTAAGGCAGTGCGGCTCTGTAGGGGCAGGGCAGCGTGACTCGGGCAGGGCGGCGCGACTCGGGCAAGGCGGCGCGGCGCGGCGCGGCTCAACAGGGCACAGCGCAGCAGCGCGTGCAGCAGCAGCAGCTCAGGCGCAGCAGCAGCAGCAGCGCAGCGCAAGTGGCAGCAGCAGCTCAGGCGCAGCAGCGCGGCAGCAGTAGTGCAGTTGGCAGCACCTGCGCAGCAGCAGCAGCGTACGCAGCAGCAGCAGCAGCAGCGCGCGGCAGCACGGTTTGGCAGAGCACAGCGCAGCAGCGCGTGCGGCAGCAGCAGCTCAGGCGCAGCAGCGCGCAGGTAGTTCGCGGGCGGGGCGAGCAGCGCGCGGGCAACAAATGTAGCGCGCGAGCAGCAGGGGCAGCGCGTGAGCAGCGGGCGCAGCGTGCAGGCAGGGCGCGCAGCGAGCACGGGCAGCGCGCTTGCAGGCAGCGCGAGCAGGGCAGATGGCGCGCTTGCAGCAGGCAGCGCGTGCAACAGGCAGCGCGCTAGGGCAGGCAGCGCGTGCAGCAGGCAGCGCGCTAGGGCAGGCAGCGCGCGTGGCAGCAGAGCAGCGCGACGTTTTTCATGCAGGGCAGGACAGCGCAAGGGCGCTTCGGGAAGGAACGAGCGGAACTAACGGTGGGCACTAAAAAAAAATGTGACCTACTCTGAAACCATGTCAAAATGTGATGTGTTAGGTCAAAGGGGGGTACAAGTACAAGATGAGAGAAGTGTTGTACCCCCTAAGGCTAAACCCACTACAGCCTAGTATGATAGAAACATATATTGTTTAACACCTTGATACGGTAGTAGCGCATATGCGCTTATAATAAAATCAGTTTTTTTTAAGGGGGGCGCTTGTAATTGAGTATCGGCCATAAGAGCCGCACTTATATAATGACAAATACATAAATACAACTTAAACGCACCAAATTGTACATTTCAGTATCGTAAGTTCAATCCAATCGAAAATTTACACCTTCCAGAATCAGAATTGCGCGAGAGCGATTCTGTGACGGTGCACAGAGCTTTGGCACCAGGGCTCTCAATATCAGGGTAAAATGCCCTTTCTGGCGGCCGCTTTTTTTCAGTTACCTTTTCACAGGAAGGGTAATGGGTGTTGGAATTAAGGTTAATTCGAGTTGCTCCAATAAACATATGTAGTGGTACATCTACACTATAGTAGTGTAGAATACATTGGTTGGGTTGGGAGAACTTGTGGTGTACACTCTTTAGAGTGGACCACCTCCCAAACTCTATAGGTTAGGGTTCTCTATTGTTGGAACTTCACTTCTTGGAAACTACTTTGCTTCTAGCATGGTTCATGCCCAAGTGGGCTCCTAAGATTCCTAGGCTTTAGGAGGAGGTTCTAAGACTACTAAAGCTTCCGCTAGTAGCTTAGTCCATTCTAACATGGTATCAGAGCTAGGAAGGCCTAGCAATCTGTTGGAATAGGAGCTACTCAAGAAATTGGATCATAATACCTTGGAGGAAGCTAAATAGCTTCCATCCCTCCCGAAGGGCTGCCGAAATTGCACCGTGGCGGACTCTGGACGTGGGCGGGGAGGAGGAGAGAAGAAATCCGCTGGAAATCGAGTGGATCCGTTTGGGAGGACGAGAGGAGCGACATCCATTCACGGAGAGGCTCGGTCAATGTTGGCGGATCAATGCGTGCAGCACATCGTTGGAAAACCCTCAATACGATCTACAACAAATGCCTCGGCGTCGTCACAAATTGACGAGCGGATCGGACGCAATTCGCGAAATACAGTCGGCGGACGAATTGGAAAATCGCGAATCAGGGAAGATTTAAAGCGCGGAAAAAAGATTGGAGGGCAGACGCCGACAGAGGAGGCCATGGCGCATCCAACAAGCCAAAAATCAGGAGAAACGGCCGAGTCTTCGTCGACGGAAAATCGGCCAACTTCGACGAGTTTAAAACCCGTGGGTCAAGAAGGGCGAAATTGGTTCATGGTTCCTAAGGTTGGTTGGATGTAACCCTGTGACCAACAGAGCCAACTTCGAACACGGGAGAGGGAAGAGCAAACCTTTCGCGCGAACAAAATTACTGTAGCACCAAAGCAGCCCCAATTCCCAACATCGCACAGGAGCATCGACCCACCCCCAATCTGTCGCCCAACAACAAACTGTCGCAGAAGAGAGTGAATTCGTTGGCAGCACCACAGATGCATGGGAAACCTGTCCCAAATTGCCTCCCGTTTTTCCCGAGTTCTACAACACACTATTAGACGCTAATAACTAGCCACTCGGCCACTATACATCAGGGCAAGGACGCACTGAAACTGTCACACAAAAGGGACTCGTATTAGACAGTCGGTAAGTCGACATTGTCTAGCGTAGGGGTGTGGAACGGAACACACGGTCGTGTGAGCGGGACTAGGTATACGCGCCGATAATAAAAAGCGGTGCAGACCGTTTGGGCGTATTGAGGGAAATCCGGGGGGGGGGAGTGAAGCGTGTAGCCATAAATCAGTGTCGAAACACGAGGAATCAGTGTCGAAACACGAGGAATCGAAGGATGGAGGGGTGATATGGCGGAAATGACTAGTATCTCAATTCACGTTCATGCCTAGAAATCTTGCTCATGCAGTCGACCAGTGGTTTAGTTCTACAACTCGGGTGCCCACCGGGACCGAATCGTAACACAGAGTCTCACGACGGCCGCTAGATGCACCAGCGGGAACGGGGTTACAAAGTCCACCGCGACCCACGAAGCGTGACGCACACAACTTCGAGCTCTCTTACCTTGCACACGCGCCGCGCTCAAATGTGCAGTCGCGATCTCTGCGTCGAGCCGCACCCATGCATTCGGGTCACCGCATAAGCGTCATCGCGGTTAGGGTTACCGCATTTGGAGGACCTTGCCGCAAAAGCGGCATTCGCCCTGCCGCGATCATTCGCGGCATTAGCGGCGATAGCTCAGGAGTAACCCACATGTGCGTAACCCTAACATGTGCGACACACTCCCGCTGCCTCATTCGCCTAACATCATCACCCCACTACAACCGCAGATTGCTCAACGGGTCAACAGGCGATCGGCTCCGAGGAATCGTACAAAGAGCAGACGCAACGGTGAGCTCCGCCACAGGCTCACCCATTTTGTTGCGGTCAGCTCGGACGCAGGATCCAGGAGGGCAATACATCATCGGAACGGTCTCGGAGCAAGGATTCATCTGAGCCAAACGGCTCATTATTCGGACATTCGAGCGCGGAGTTACGCTCTAATAACCAAGAGGGTGTGAATCTGCCCGCATCATCTTCACTGTCACCGCCGTTGCCTCCACCACCACCTCAACGTCAATCTTCAGTGCTTCTGCCGCAAATGGATCATGAATCAGGCGAAGGGAAGCTGGAAAGTGCGCCAAAGTTCGACGGGAGCGACTATTGGAGTTGGAGCTTCCGATTCGAGCAATGGGCAGAGGCACACGATCTATGGGGGTACTTTGATGGTTCGGAGGAGCGACCTGCATCGGGTGACGCACGTCTAAAGTGGGAGAGGAGAAATCAGAAGGCATTCGCCCAATTCTGCAATGCCTTGGTGCCAGATGAGCTGATTCGCTTGGTACGGGAGTTCGGCGGCAAGACCGAGTTGGGCAGCGCACCTGTTGATGGCAGAGCAAGAGCGGTCACCCGAGTTCCTGCAGGCATAGCAGCGGCATACACACGAGTGAAGGGGTTCTACCTTCAGCGTGGATTGTGTAACCGGATGGCACTCTCTGAGGAGCTCTCTTCCTTGAAGATGAAAGAAGGGGAGGGAGTGGCTGCATACTGGGCGCGTGTCGAGGACTTGAAGTCCAAGTACTTGGCTGCAGGAGGGAAGGAGGAGGTTGAGGAGTGGATGATGAGGGTACTCAAAGGACTACCTCCTCATTTTGAGATGCTGAAGGTAGTGCTGAACAACCAATCACCATCGCTTACTAAGGATCAGATGCTTACCTCTTTGAGGAGCGAGGAGATGCGGATTGGTGTCGCACCAAGATCGGATGGTGTTGCCACTTTTGGAGCGGGTACGAAAGTGGGCAGCATCGGCAGGGGAAATTGGGACAAGGGAGGAAAACATGGAGGCAGCGGTAACAGCAGCGGCACCAACTCGGGCATATGGGGTCAGGGGAAAGGCAAAGCAGGAGTGCTTGATTTCCCTTGGGGGTCCAAGGGCATGGCTCCTAGGGGGTTGTGTCATGGCTGTTGGGATGAGGGACATGCATGGCAGTGATGTCCTCACCGACCTAAGGGAGGCATTCCGACATTCTTACAGCGGGGGGGTCGTGGGTCCAACGGCAAGGCACAGGTGGCGGATGAGGAGGAGCAGGATGACAAGGCAGAGGTAGTGGTTGGAGAGGCAGTTGCAGCAGTAGGAGGGGAGCAGCCGCGAGAGGGGTGGTGGATTGACACTGGAGCCAGCCACAACTTTACTCCTTATGCATCCGACTTCAAGAGTAAGCTTGAGCCACTTGAGATTCGGGGAGTTAGATTGGGAGATGGACGGGTGGTGAAAGCTGTTGGCATGGGTGAAGTGCCAGTGGTTGGTGCTGGAGGTCAGCTGCTGAGGATTCAAAAGGTCCACCTTGTGCCTGAGATGCACACACGTCTGCTGTCAGTCCCACACCTCACCTCTCGGGATGTCATCGTCACATTCCAGGGCAAGAGATGTGTTATCAAACGGGGAGAGAGGGTGTTGGCGATTGGTGAAAAGGAGGGGGGAAGGGACCATGGTTTGGTGCGGATGTCTCTTCCTCTTGCTCGGGGCACACAGGGCAGTGCTCTTGCTGCTGGATCCTCCTCCTCATTTTCCCTATTGGCCCTTGCTCACCGCCGCCTTGGTCATACCGCCCCCACAACACTGCAACAGATGGCTCGGGGGAACAGTGTACTGGGCTTGGAGATTGGGGGGGGGGGGCACTGATTGCTCTCCATGTGAGCCTTGCTTATTGGGAAAGTCGGCTCGAAGGCCGTTTCCCCATGAGGCGTCTCGGGCACTTGGACCTTTGGATGGGGTCCATATGGACTTGTGGGGGTCAGTGCGTACACCGTCACTGGGAGGAGCGGTGTATGTCCTCAGCCTCATTGACGACTTCACCAGACGAGTTTGGTCGTTCCCACTCCCCAACAAGGAATCAGCCACAGTTGCAAAAGTTCTTCGACAGTGGCATAAGGACGTGGAGTTGGAGTGTGGGCGGAAGCTGAAGGCTGTTCGCTCAGACAGGGGCGGCGAGTTCTTGGGGGACGCTGTGAAAGCATGGAAGGCGGAGTTTGGCATTAAAACGCAATTGAGCGTCGCAGATACACCGCAGCAGAATGGGGTCGTGGAGAGGTGGCACAGGACGATGGCAGAGGGGATTCGCACATTGTTGGTCGACAGTGGTCTCCCTGCTCGCTTGTGGGGTGAAGCATTGATGTGGGTCGTGTGGGTTAAGAACAGGGTCACTCACAATGCTTTGCCTGCCTCCATCACACCAATGGAGGCGTGGTCCGGCCAGAAGCCGCATGTGGGCATGGCTCGGATTTGGGGTTGCATGGGGAGTGTCATGTTGCATGGGCATGAGAAGGGTGGCAAGCTTGATGCACGGACTGTCATGTGTGTCTGTGTTGGGGTGGACATGGAGAGCAAGGGTTGGCGCATGCTGGACCGTTCTCTCATGCGCATTCGCATTGCTCGGGATGTTGATTTTCTTGAAAATGTGATGTGGAAGGATTGAGACAAGACAAAGGGATTTGGGGAGCTTCTGCAGGATGCAGCTGAGATTTCCCAACTCCTCCCTCTTCCACTCTCGCCACCCTCAGCAACAGTTGACGACGCTGAGATGCCACCTTCATCACCGCCACCGGCACCGCTGAGTGTGTCGCTGCAGCAGCAGCTCACCCCTCTGCAGCAGCTCAGTGGCCCCTCGGTCATTCAGCGCCGATCCGCTACACATGCTACTTCCTCTTCCTCCACCTCTGGTCAGTGCTCTGTCCCTCTCTCTACGGGTGCACCTACGTCACCAGCGACTACCTCCCCACCACCGGTTACGGGTTTGCAGGTGCTTGGTATCCAATCTGGTACAGGTGGTGAGGAGGTAGGGGGGGATGCTGGTGTGGTTGAGGGCATGCTGTGTTTGGCCAGGGAGGTGGAGGGTGTTGCACTAGCAGGTGTGAGCACCGGTGATGTCCCACGCACACTCACTGAGGCACTGCGTGGCCCTGAGGGCCCTGCGTGGAAGGCAGGCGCTGAGAAAGAGGTAAATGCAATGCGCACTATGGGTGTATGGGATCCAGAGCCGGTCGACTTACCTCCAGGTAAGAAGGCCATTGGGGTCAGGTATGTTTTCCGCAGGAAAACGGACAAGAAGGATAAGGTGGTACAGCACAAGGTTCGCCTTGTTGCTAAGGGGTACACGCAGGAGCCCGAGAAGGACTATGATCAGGTATTTGCCCCTGTGGGCAAGCTCACCTCAGGTCGGGTGCTTCTTGCAGAAGCCGCGGTAAAAGGGTGGCATGTACAACAGGAGGATGTTGATCATGCTTACCTCAATGTAGTCCTTCAAGAGGAGGTGTATGTGAGGCAACCTGAGGGATTTGATTATGGTACAGGTAGGGTGTATTGCTTGCGCAAAGCTCTCTATGGGCTCAAGCAAGCGCCTCGTGCTTGGAATGAGGAGATTGGTACCACCCTGATTTTAGCAGGGTTTGACCGCAGTGCATGCGATGAGGCTCTGTACGTCAGGTTTGTGGATGAAGAGCCAGTGTATGTATTGGTGTATGTGGATGACCTCTTGTTTGTGTCTCCACGCTTGGAGCTGATCGGTCAGGTCAAGGAGGTGCTTGCTAAGAGGTACCAGATGAAGGATCTAGGTGAGGTATCCACGTACCTTGGTGTGGAGGTTCGCAGGTCGGTCAAGGATGGGTGGTTGGAGATTGGTCAGGAGAAGTATGTCCATGGTCTCCAGGGAAGGTTTGGTGATCTGCTGAAGGAGACCCATAGGGTGCATACTCCAATGTCACCCAATGATCTCTCTAAGATCAGGAATGGTACTTGGTCGACTGAGGAAGGTACTGCAGCTGATGTCAAGGTGTTTGGAAGCTTGATGTATGCTGCTGTGACTATCCGTCTTGACATGTCCTTCACTGTCAACACCCTTGCACAGTCCTGTGTGGCACCGAGACGCATTCACATGCGCGCTGCACTGAGAGCACTCAGGTACTTGGTCAACACAGCTGATCGTGTCATCAGTTATGAACGCAAAGGTGGTGAGCAGGTTGTTGGGTACACCGACTCGGATTGGGGTGGTGAGACTGATGGCAAGAGTCGCTCTGCCTACATCTTTAAGTTGGGAGGAGGAGCTATCAGCTGGTATAGCAAAAAGCAAGACAGTGTTGCAGCAAGCGTTTCTGAAGCTGAGTATAAAGCTCTATTGGAGGGGGCCAAGGAGGCCATTTGGTTGAGGAGTTTGTTGGCAGAGATGCATGTGGGGGATGGGGGGGCTATTCCATTGTTCTGTGATAATGAGGTTCCTGTCTCCCTTGCCCACAATCCCGTTCTCCATCAGCGCACCAAACACATTAAGGTGGCATGGCACTTTGTACGGGATGCGGTGCGCCAGCAGGACGTCGAGGTGCACTCAGTACGCTCCCACCTCCATGATGCCAACATGCTCACCAAAGCTCTCCCAAGCTTGCAGCTGCATGAGAACCTTGAGCGCATCGGCATGCGAGTGATGGCTGCGAAGGCCAAGGCTTCATTCGCTGGAGGGGTTGTGTTTTGATTTATAGGTGCACCTTAATGCTTATTGGAGCAAGGGGGGGTGTTGGAATTAAGGTTAATTCGGGTTGCTCCAGTAAACATAGTGTAGAATACATTGGTTGGGTTGGGAGAACTTGTGGTGTACACTCTTTAGAGTGTACCACCTCCCAAACCCTATAGGTTAAGGTTCTCTCTTGTTGGAACTTCACTTCTTGGAAACCACTTTGGTTCTAGCATGGTTCATGCCCAAGTGGGCTCCTAAGATTCCTAGGCTTTAGGAGGAGGTTCTAAGACTACTAAAGCTTCCGCTAGTAGCTTAGTCCATTCTTAACAATGGGATTCCCTGGGCCAGAAAGTGCCGTATTACCCCGGATATAAGCGCAAGTGCGCTTATAATAAATCAGTGTTTTTTAGGGGGGTGCGCTTATAATTGAGTCAAAATTATAAGCGCATGCGCTTATAAAATGACAAATATAAAATTACAAATTTCAGACACCAAACTGTATATCTCGTGCCTGCCATTTCAATCGAGTCAATTTTATATAGGGTCGTGAGTAAAATTTTCGCGCGCGCTGGCAAGTACATTCGATGTGACTCACAGGGTGCCCCTGACAGCTCATGCTGACTGGACTCGCAGCTTGTGCAGGGTTCATAGTGGACAGAGCCGAATTTGGAAAGTATGAGCCTGCTAAAGTGAAAATCGTTACAGTATTTTGACATGTTTTAAATTTTAAAACTAGGATTCGCTTAAAATAAATCAAGGTTTTACAGGGGGTGCGCTTATAATTGAGGATCGGCCATAACCGCATTGCTCCAGATAGAAGCGCATGCGCTTTTAATAGGCCTGCGCTTATATCCGGGGCGATACGGTGTAAGTTTACTTTTACCCTTTGGAAAACAAGGGTTAAGAATTTATTTCTCTGACTGTACAGGGTACGATCACAGTCAGGGCCTACTTTATCAGAAATTTTTTGTCTGAATTTCTGGATTCTGAACACATTTTTACTGGTTCATCTGATGTCGTAGACATGCTGTTTAATTTCGATCTGATTTTTAAGAGAAGCTTTTTCTATTCATCTGATTTCTCAGACAGCCTTATACAGTTCGTCTGAGACTGCAGATATCGAGTCTTTTTCGTCTGACACTGAATGCTCCGTAGCGAGGCAAAACACTACACGAGCCCCTGCAAAATACTAACAACAAGAATCGAGCACGCGATCTTTCACATCCAAGACGTAATGGTACCAGCTGAGCCACTAGTTGAACTAGAGTAATAAAGTGTAACCAAAAACTTTCGTGTCGAAACAGACTAATCGTTTTTTTTTTCCTGAATTTGTCAGGAAACGAAAAAAATTACCCTATGAATCAGGGTTGCGACTACCAAGAACCCTGATTAGAAAGGCTGGCCCAAAACGAATCGAGAGCCCTGTTAAGCACGTCACTTTGCCCGTTTGCCAGCTCATCCGGGGCCATACGGTATGCCTCTACCTCGCCCAGGGTACATCTCTCTCAGGGTGACTACTCCCCACGCTAAGCCTACCAAGAGCCAACTGCAAACTTCCAGCTTCACAGCCCCAACAAAGCCTTCTGGAAGAAAGCTTGCTTTCTAGAAGAGGGTGAGGCACCAAGCAGTGGACATTCAAGATCCTTCTGGACTTCCACCAGGAACGAGCTGCCAGTGGGAAACAGAGAAAGGTTGGAAGGGAGTGCAGGGAACATGCGGAGAAAAAGTGTTCAATTTTCATGTGCCGCGCCAGGAGAGCTGATAAAAACAGAGTGTTTGTGCTGCCTTATGCACCTGCTACATTTCTGTGTGTTTGGGGTCTTAGGAGGTTAAAGAAGCGGATCGGGATTTGACACCGTATGGAAACAGAAGGGGAAGGGGACTTAGATGGATCTGACGGAACCAGCGTTTTTTATGCGAGAGTCAAAATGCTACGTAATTTATGCTGGACGCGACCCTACTGATAATTTGACGGTGGTTTGACGTTCTGGCGGGCAGGCCAGAAAAACCCTTTGGGCAGCCAAAAAAAAGCGGGGGGAGGGGGGGGGGGGTGGGGGAGGGGAGGGCAGGAGAAGTGGGAGGAGGTAAGGGGGTGGGGAGGCGATGCCCTGCTCTTCCCAGTCTCAACCGTAACATGCTCCTCCTCCTCCTTCCCCCTCTACCCTTCTTCCCATCCCCTTCCTCCCACCGGCTCATCTCCCTTCTCACCCTTCACAACTTTCCCCTTCTCCTTCTTCTCTCCCGTACGCCTCATCTCTCTCCTCCCCCCCCCTCCCTCTCCTCTCTCCCTTCTCCCCTCGACCCCTGTCCTTCCCTCTTCTGCCGTTTTTTTTGCCCTTAGATTATTTTCGATTTAAGGCTGCCCAAAAAAAAATCAGGCAGCGTCCAGAATCAAAACGTACGTCCAACGTCCAGCGTCAAAACGTACGTCCAACGTCCAGCGTCAAAACGTACGTCCAACGTCCAGTGTCCAAACGTATCGTTTTGATGCTGGACGCAAGGCCTTCCTAGAGTCAAATCTATCTAAGGAAGGGGGAACGAGAGGGGTGAAGCTGGGAATATATTCGGGGTTGCAGTGTTGGAGTTTGCAATTGCTGCTGTAGAACAGGTAGACAGCAACCAAGCAAACATGAGACGCAAAACAAAGGAATCAAGCAAAGAAATCAGCAATGAGATGTATTGGGGAGAGGGAAATGCGCCTCACAATGGCGATGTTGTTGCCGTTGAGCAGTATTTGGTCTAGCTTCGTCACTCTGCTGCCTTCTGCTGTGTGCTCGCTGCCATGCCATGCGACACAGACAAGCATGACAGCAAGGCCACATGGTCGGGGATCGGAGAAACGTGCGTACATGGGCTGGTATTTTCAGGGTTTGGAGAAACGGAGGTGCATTATATGGAGTGGTGGAGGGGTCAACAGTTACAAATAAGGTCCGCCAATATTGGTGCTCTGGCACAGACTCCAGAACCATGTC